CTTGAAACAAACAAAAACAGAAATTGCAGGAGGAACTCAGCAAGTTTTCCAGCTCCACACTGTGTTATCTCAAAACTTCAACTCTGTTTTCTTTTTGCAGATGCTACCAAACTTGCTGAGTTCCTCCTGCAATTTCTGTTTTTGTTTGTTTCAAGTCTCCAGCATCCACAGTTGTTTGTTTAATAGGGAACAAAACCAATTCTGGACAGCTTGAATATAGTTGATTATAATGTATACATCATTTGAATAAGTTGTATAAATCATGTATCGATTGTGTAATATGATAATCAGAATGATCCTTGAGTCTTGCGAACACAAAGGTAGAATTTCAATAACAGAGGTTATGTAGAAAAAGCCATAATAGTGGCAAAAGTCTAAGAAATGAGGACAGTCTGGAATAACTTAATTGTTTCATCGTTCAAATGAAGAGGGGGGATGAAGGGATCAAAATGGTGTAAAAGACTGTAAATGATACCATAAAAATTAAATTTAGAACACTACTTCAAACTGAAATATGATAGTCGGACAAAGGGGATAGTAGTAAAATGGCAATGATATTGGAATAGTAATCCAGATTCTCAATTAAAACTCTGGAGATGTATATTCAAATCCCATCATAATAGCTGAGGGAATTTCAATTCAATCAGTTAAATAAATTAATAATGAAGTTAAAGGCTAGTTTTGTTGATGATACACAAGAAATAACTGGATTGTTATAAAACCATAATTTGAGATGTAGGATTGGTAGAGAAAAATCTGGCTTTGAGAGTCTGGTAAACAAAGCTTAAAATAATTGCAAATCAAATGGTAGCCTGTGTTTATTTAATGAGTTCAGAATTAGAAGTTTGAAAATACTAAATAATAGGTAACCCATTTCTGAAACTTAATAGGGAACAACACATCTACAGTTGTCTTCATAATAAGCATAAATTATTCATCTGGGTAAAGATCAAAGAAAGGTTTGAAAGCAAAGGATAAACCAGGAAAGATCTTAAAATATCCATATAATTTTCAGCTGTTCTGACTTTCACACTATCCAGTTTCTCAGGGAACAAGACGAGAATTGGCCATGACATAGAAATGAAATAACTTGGACTAATGATGAGATATAAATGTTTATACTTAAGTACACTGATCAGTGAATAGTGAGATACTGATGTCACCATTTAAAGATCGGGGGCACAATGGGAATTCTTTCTTGACATCAACATCACAAATTTTCTACTCTTACCACTTTTTCTCAACATTTTTCTCATTACCCATTGGGAATATTTCACCCAAATAATTGAACTGTTTTTTCTTGAGAGCTTATATCATCTGGCAAAAGTCAAATCTGCTGTAACAATTTGTTCAGCAAAGCTGCTTTGTTGTCTGAAGATTCCTCAATGGGGTACTCAAGTGGGTTGCACTGCTGATTCTTGTTTTCAATATTTGCTTATTCAGTGGCTCCAATTGGAAAAGTTGTTGCATTAGATGTAAGCTTGGCCTCCAGGTATGACTTTGACTGCTATAGCATTCTGCACCTGGAATGTTCCACACAGTTTTGTCCTGGTTGCTACAGGATATCCTCATTCAGAGGAGGCACTGCCCCTCACTCATCAGACGATATTCCATAAAAGATAAAAGACTGTGGGCCTTCTCCACTTACTCTGCATCTGATAGAACTTTTTGCAATAAACCCTGCATTTGAAGGTTGGTCCACATCTGTTAGAGGTTGCTGTTGTCCTGGCCTTCCTGACGTACATTTTCCTCATCAATTTCTGTGGTAACTCTTCATGCAGTGGATACAGAGATGGCAATAGGTGACAGTTTCAAAGACCCTACATGGGTAATATCGGAAACAAAGCAGCTTTGCAGTATTGTCATCAGTCAGCAGTCAGACAAATGACATTTTTCAATCATCATCCATACACTGGAACATGGAGGCCTCCAACAAGAAGGGCAATGGGATGTCTCTACATGGACCTACATAGTAGAATTTATTCTGAAGTATGTTTCACAATCCAAACCATAGAAAACTGTAATGTGGTAGGAATAATAACTCCACTATCCTCACCCCAAAACACACCCCCCCCCAACCCCCCCCCCCCACACCCCCCACCACCCCCCACCCGCAATCCATATAAGCCTGGAAGGGGAAGAGAATTGTATGAAAATGTGACAGACCAAGGTGTGAGTAAAACAGTTCCTGTGAGACCTTGAGATGTGCTTGTGAATTGTGAAACATAGCTGACACTTTATAGCTCACCTAACATTACCTCTGCCTAACAGTGATTACTAAGATTCATTTGTAATGATCAATGACACAGTCGAGATTGCTTTTGACCAGAATTCTTATTTGGTATGGTTTATTTCTGTATGCCGTTCATATGCTGAATTTTGCGACTATAGATGTCTCCAACCTTTACCGTGAAAGTGCTTGATTGATGCAATTGTCCCTCTTACATTGCTCACAAGTAGAACTAGCTCCCTCAAACAAACAAAAGCACTTATTCTGCCAATTCCAGCTGCAGTGGCAGTATTTTTCATTTGAATTGGACATTTGGAAATCAGATGAGGATGGGAGGCAACACAAGTCATGCTTCACAGTGAGTCACCGGCTCAATCTGTCAATCCAGGTAACAACCTCCTATGATTAGAGGGGAGCAATGCTACTTCTGAATGAGGATGTTCTCGGACATATTTCTTCTTTCTTGCCTTCCCTGTTAAGCCCCAGCCCTTTGCTCTTCACCATCACATTGGATACTTTCCCAACTTCTGTGATCATAGACATCGCTCTCCCTGATTTTTTTTAAAATAAACCTCTATGATCATGGTCTTAATAAACCTCCTACCAAATCTGCAGTTAAAATTATGTATCTCCCAATTTTATTTTTGGTCTTGAAATCTTTGGTCAGCAGTATCTGGCTGAGCAATCTTCTTCAAGTTAATCTTATCGCACTGCAACCTGGAAAAGGCTCAAGAATGGTGCCCCAAGAACAGACTGTTTCACATTCTCCTGCTGGGAAACTACACCAGTGGGATCACCATCTTCATGGTCAACAAAAAGAAAAATGCAGAATTTTGCAACTTGTGCGCTAGAACACTCAAGGATAATCTCAGGAGTGACCATCCAGAAAGCAGGGCTGCTATCATATTATGTGAACTAGCAAGACTCCAAATTGTTGCCCTCAGTGAGGCCTACCTTCCTGGGGAGGGCTGGCTGAAGGGACAAACACAGAATACACCTTTTCAAATGAGAAAGACTGACATTAACCCTCATATCAATGGTTTTGTCATCTGGAATGGGATCTTGATGCATTGCCAAAATTCCCCAGTTGTACAAATGAAAGGATCATGGCTCTTCACCTACAGTCCAGTTGAAATCATAGAATGATAGAATCCCTACAGTGTGGAAGCAGGCTATTCAGCCCGTTGAGTCCGCACCAACCCTCTGAAGAGCATCCCATCCAGACCCACCCCCACCCTATCTCTGCATTTCCCTCCCTAGACACTATGGGCAATTTAACATAGCCAGTCCACCTAACCTGTATATCTTTGGACTGTGGGAGGAAACCGGAGCACCTGAAGGAAACCCACGCAGACACGAGAAGAATGCACAAACTCCACACGGACAGTCACCTGAGGGTGGAATCGAACCTGGGTCCCCGGCGCTGTGAGGCAGCAGTGCTAACCACTGAGCCACCGTGCTGCCCAAAATCAATATGCCATAGTCATCAGCACTTTTGCCCAATCCTTGACCCATTTGAAGATGTAAAGATAAATTCTGTTCTGACCTTGATGAAGTTCTCACTGCTATGCCAAAAGAAGAGATGATTGTCCTTCTGGAGGACTGTACCATCAGGGTCGCCATTACTCTGATGTTTGGGGTGGAAGCATTGAGAAAAACTGGGTGGGAATGATCTGCAGCACTGTGCCATCTCATCCTGTTAATTGATGAATATGTACTTGTTTATGATTAAAGAGCTAAAGTTTAAGCTGGATATTAGTTAGTTCATAACTTTTTTTGCCAATTGTTTAAAGAATACATTTGTTCTTAATAAACAAGTTTTTTTTTGAGTTTATTGAAGGAACCTGTTTAGAATCTAAAAGAAAACCAGAAATTGCTGGTAAAAAATCAGCAGGCCTAGCAGCATCTTTGGAGACAAAGCAGAGTTAATGTTTTGGGTCCAGTGACCCTTTTTCAGAACTGATTGCACCCCAGAAAATGTTGGTATTCATGCTAGAGAAGTGGTTGGGGGAAAGGGGAAAGAGTAAACGGTAGGTGGAGATGGATCCCACAGAGAGGGAAAAACAGCTGGGCAAAGGAGTGGGTAAAAGTCAGCCTGGGAGAATGAATAGCTGCTAATGGGGTCAATTAGTGGCTGACAAAGAGTTGGTTGTGATGGCAGCCCATGTGATGACAAAGCTTGGTGTGAGGGGGGTTGGAGTAAGGAAATGGGAGAAGGTGCTCAGGCCCTGAAATTATTGAACTCAATATTGGGTCCTGAAGGCTGCAAGGTCCCCAAGTGGAAAATAAGATGTTGTTCTTCCAGCTTGTGCTGAGCTTTACTGGAGCACTGCAGCAAGTCAGAGACCGAGATGTTGGCCAGGGTGCATGAAAATGGCAGACAACCAGAATGTTTGTGGAGAAGTGGGGCTTGATTTTCATGCCCATTCTGCAAGTTTATTAGTGTTTCTTATCTCTATTTTTTCACAGACCTCCTCTCCATTAACCAAAACCCAAAACTTGAAGTTGTCTGAAAATTTTAAAATTATTCTTCCGATTCCCTAGTACAATCATCTGTGCAACTAGAGGACAGCAGAGGGCCTTTAGGAACACCAGTCTCTGCCTTTTTGTCACTCTGAGTAAGTATCTTTAACTCTCATGCTGCATTTGCAGTTTTGTATCTAGCTTGTTTTCCATTCTGCTACCCACCCCTTGACTCCACACGTTCTGACTTTAATCATAAGTTGACTATGGAGGAGCTTATCAAAGGATTTTTGAAAAGCCAGATATATTATTTTTAGCCTTGTTATACTTTGTTATTTCTTTAAAAAAATTTCAATATAATTGGTTAAGCATAAATCTTCCCTTTTGAAATTTGTGTTCAATACACTTTACTATATTTTCAGTTTCTCTGTTTTTTTTAAATTGAGTAGGGATTCATTGTCTTTCCTACTACTAACACAAAATTAATTGATCTTTGGTTCCTTTGTCTTGTTTTAGCTCCCTTTTTAAACATAAGAATCACATTAGCTTTGTATCAGGCCACTAGCCATATTCCCTTTTCTAATTAATTTTTATAGATATGTAATAGTATCTCTGCAGTTTCTTTCCTAACTTCTTTTTAATATGTGTGGGTGCAATCCATCCAGGCCAGGGGATTTATCCTCTAAGTTTAATTAGTTTATCAATTATCTATACTTTCTATCTAAAATGCTTACTTTTTTTTAATCTATCATCATGCCCACAATGTTAGTCTCCATGGTAAAAACTGAAATAAAATAATTATTTAATATTTCTACTCCCTAGGTGTTTCAAAATGATGAAAGGAAATGATATCTCTGTATATATGCCAACAATAATCTCAGAGGTGATTTTATGTGCGCTTATAGCCAGTGGGGAGACTTACCCAATGTCTCTGTGTTTCAGGAAATTGACAGTGTTCTGTGCACAATTTTCCACCTGTCAATTATACTTAACAGGAAATTGGCAATAGGGCAATCCCAGTTTCTTGATATGTAAGCCATCATGGTCTTGTTACATACACCTATCAGTCATAGTAATGCACCCCAATGCTTTGTATCTAGCAGTACTGTACCTAATCTCGGTGCACTTCATGCTGACAGTTTACAATACAAGTGAAAAAATGTTCTAGACTCTAGCAGTGACATCCTTCACTTTGATGAACACAAAATATGAATAAACAAATTTCAGATAGTGCTCCATCTAATTCTGGTACTTAAAAAAATGATACAGTTGTTATACATTGACAGATCATAGCATAAAGACTTTGAAAAAAATGCACATCAGGCAAAAATTTGCCTCATAAGAAGAAAAAAAAATTTCTTTTGCCATCCAAATAATGTGAGCATCAAACTAGTTGCTTTTTGATAACGAACAGCCGGACGCACACAACGACATTTCGACAGTCATAAAAGAACAGCAATTCTGATGATTATCACAATGAAGCAACTGATGATATCTTTAAAAAAATGTTAAATACCAAGCAAGCAGAATGCCATACATAAGTAAATTACTTCTCCTGCCCTGTTCTTTGCAGTGACATTTCAACGCACCAACAACAATGTGGCTCCAAATGCCAAACAGAAAACTATTGGTCCTGCCAGATCAGTCTCGTTCATGATGCTGCCATCTGCTGGTTTCATTGGATTCAGAACTGTTAAGGTTTTCTGCCAGATGTGGTCAAAGTTGATCCCAATTTCTGTGAACAAAACAAATTTGTTTTAGGATTCCACATAACAAGATGTGCATCTCTAGTTGTATCATTTCTGAGGCTTTCTAAAACTCTTAATGGCTGGCTATCTTCAGACAAAGGCTGTAATTTGGCAATCAACAGTTTGTTTATAAATAGTTATTATCTCAAAAGACAGGGATATAGATTTAAAAACCAAAAGAACCAGGAACAAACACAGAAGTTGCTGGAAAAGCTCAGCAGATCTGGCAGCATCTGTGAAGAGAAAATCAGAGTTAACATTTCAGGTTCTGAGGAAGGGTCACCGGACCCAAAACATTAATTCTGATTTTCTCTTCACAGATGTTGCCAGACCTGCAGGGATATAGATTTATTTGATTAAAAATGTCAAGTTTACTTTTTATTATCTAAAGGATTTTTGGATTTCTACTGTGCACTAGGCATCATGTTCTACTATTCAATCCAAGTTTCCATGAAAATTGCAAGTCTTCATAGTAAATGGTCCAATTTGTCCAGAATATCTGCTATCTTTATTTTTCAATATTGTTATTACGGTTTAAATTTCATTGCCATTGTTAACAGATGGAAATTTAAATCCACATTGACTAATGAAACTTTGAAAACTCAGTGAAGACTAACAAGGTACATGAGCTCCACCTGATGGTCGAGAGTAATAAAGAGTTTCCTGAATTATTAGGACGCACAAGATGCAGAAGATGTAATTTGTCTGCTTAATCAGATTCATAGAGTAGTATAGCACAGAAACAGCCCCTTTGGTCCAACTCATCCATGCCGACCAGATATTATAAATTAATCTAGTCCTATTTGCTGTAATCATAATTTTTAATTCAAAATGACAAAGCAATGTTGGTAATTGTTTGGAATTTTAGTCTTCATGGCTCTTCTTTTTAAATTGACTTATGGGACATGGACATTGCTGGCTGGGCCAGCATTTATTGCCTATCCCTAGGTACCCTTGAGAAGCTCACCACCACCTTGTTCTGTGTCCCACAAATGAATTTAAACAAAGCCTACAAATACCCATTAGATAAGCGACCTACTAATTAACTCTTGCTTAGATAGTGATGGTCAAGGGAAGAACTTTTGTCAGGCTGCAAAGAAAACTGTCTCATCATCTGGAATAATAATTCCTTCCTAACAACGTGGTTGTGACTACACACCAAGGACTGTAGAGGTTCAAGAAGGAAATTGACCATCTGTTTAGGGTAATTCGGTGTGCACAATAAATGCTTGCATAGCTAGCAACATTCCTCACCCCTTGAACAATTTATTTTTAAAAATCTATGGAAACATGTAGATGGGGATTTCTGCCTACCTCTTCATCTGAAAGTCAGCACCTCTGTCAATTGTCAACTTGCAGCCTGGATTTAGAGCTCACACCTCGGTATAGCCTCAAACTTCTGACCAAAGTTAACATTGCTACGAATTTGGTCACACAGTATAGAAACATATACACATTTGCACTATAATATGGTGATCAGGCATATGTTATAATAATAAACACCTCAGCCCTAATTCTCCCATGCTCAAGGAAAGCTTTAACAACGCCTTTAAAAATGCACAACACAATTGTTATCTGAGATTCCAATTCAGCCAGCTTGCCAATTTCTGTCCTTGATTTGGATATGCTGGCATTCCTGTCAAAGACAGCAAATCACATATAGTTTTAGTGATATATAAACTATATATAGTGATATATATCCATGAAAATTTGCTTGTACATTTAAACTTTAATTTGAATTTAAACATAACTCAAAAAGAATTTTTGCTTGCAAATGTGCAAGTTGTTATAAAAGTGAATGAAGTAACCAATTAAATATGTTCAGTCTCAAATCAATTTTAAATGCAGAGCAGAGCATCTCTACAACAAAACAAAAATGGAATAATACTCAAGCTATCACTCGAGTAAATAACTAATTACGTCTCATAGTAAGCTTAAATATACTTAAAATGCCATTCCATGCTTTTTTCTTATTTTAGGTGGCTATCACAGTCATCGTATGAAGACAATAGCTATGATAATAGATTTGCCAGTTGCTTGACTTGATTTAAAATATATGTGAAGGCATCTTACATTGATGAAGGTATCACTCATGAAATTCCTATTAAGACCAAATATAGTATTCATGAAAAGCAAGTTACAAAATAATGCCTTTTTCCCCGTAACATTCAATGGGAAGATATATCATGAAAACCCATGGAATATGATTTATTAAAGACAGTTGAATAAAGTTGCTACAAAATGAAGGGTTATGTTTGAGTCAGCATCAGCTTTATAATTTAAAATATAGACCTATGACTATGATTTGTAAAGTAATTTGCTAATGCCATCTATTTAAAATTAATTCAATTTAGGATTAGGTGTCAGTAATTAGGTAAAGATGTAAAACAAATTGGTTCAATGGTTCAATCTGCTCTTTTGTAGTTTGATTCTAGATCAAATTGTTGTGTTGATTTAACATGTTTACACATTGAAAGTGCATTTTTTCCTTAATATTAAATGTGCTAATGAACTTCCAAATGGCTAAAATGGATTCTTCACGTTTACATATCTAGATTTTGAGAAAAGAGTTGAAAATTGTGCTGGAAATGATCAGCCAGACTTTTGACTATAGGGCTGATTGTTTATCATAAGATCATTGGAACAGGACTACGCCATTGACTCCCTCAGTCCTCCTAGTCCACTATTCAATGACATCATGGCTGATCTAATTCCTTTGGCCCATATCCCTTAATACTTTTGCTTAACAAAAAATTATCTAGCTCACATTTAAAATTAACAGGCATAACCTAATATATCATGAATTAACATAATCTGCATACTTGTGATGATTTTAAGTACCCAGATGTTTACAGGCATCAGATTCTATTTACATTGAAGCATTACCATTGCTAAATAAGTGCCCTCAGAAAACTTTCTTTCTCCTTGGCCCTAACTAAAGCTAAGCGCACTTCTGGGATCCACAGCTGGGGTGAGGGTACTCTGCCCTAAAGCAGAGACCTTTGGTCTTGCAGATTTGGGCAGATGACTCCAGGGGCATTTGTGGCTAGGCTGATATTGTCCTGCCCAGATGCTGGCTCGCTCTCTTCCATTTCAGCTTCCACCATACTGAGGTTTGCAGGCAGGGTGGAGGGGCTGATCACTCTGGAATGCCTTGATAGGTGTCGTCGGGGGTGCGTCCGCCCGCTTACTCCTCCACCTCTGAGCCCACTGGCACCATCCTGTCTCCTTGACAAAAAGGGACATCTGGAGTAAAGTTTGAGGCCCCTCATTAGCCTAACGCCTTGCCATTGCTGAGCATCAATGGTTAAAGCAATGGAGTGCAGATCTGTTGGCATCTCCAACAGCCACTGGGCATTCTGCTGGGCTTTCCAACTGTCAATCTGTCCACAGAGACAGCCAGCTATATGTATGCTAGAGCCAGCTGTTGAGATTTTGCTGTTTTGTTTTTTTCTCTATTTTGGCTTCAAACTGTGAGTTGAAGCTGTGAATCAAAAATTGAACTTTAACAGCAGCTTTTTTTTAAAAAGAGAGAACAAGCCAACTAATTTTTGCATATGGGAACTGGCCTGGAAAGATATTGCAAGCTATTTATTGTTCTAAGAACACCACAGATATTTTGACTCCAGGTTCTTTTATGGACAAGGACTGTCAGCTGGTTGCATGTTAAATTGGTCAAGCAAGAGGAGGCCACCAAGAGGTGGCCAGTCAATCGTAGAGAATGTCAAAAAGGAAAGCGAAACCAGAGAAGTACACCAATGCCTCTACTTCCCACAAGGCTAAGACCTGATCCAGTCCATCCTCGGACGTTGTGGGAGGCTAGGGAAGAAATTGCAGAGGCCCTTGCACTGATTTTTGCTTCATCTTTAGTCACTGGTGAAGTTCTGGAAGACTGGACGGTGGCTAATGTTCTTCCATTGTTTAAGAAGGGTAGCAAAGACAAGTCATGGAACTACAGGCCAGTGAGCCTGACATCAGTGGTAGTTAAGTTATTGAAAAGGAAACTGAGGGACAGGATCGACAAAAGTTTGGATAGTCAAGGTCTGATTAGGGACAGTCAACATGGATTTGTGCACGGGAAGGCATGTTTGACAAATCTTTTACAGTTTTTTGAAGAGGTAACCAAGAGCATAGATGAGGGCAGGGCAGTGGATGTTGTCTATATGGACTTCAGCAAGGCCTTTGACAAGGTCTTGCACAAAGGGAACTAGGAGTACAAATACATAACTAGAGGGCATAGGTTTAAGGTGAGAGGGGAAAGATTTAAGAAGGACCTGAGGGGCAACTTCTTCACGCAGAGAGTGGTGAGTACATGGAATGTGCTGCCAGAGAAAGTGGTTGAGGCAGGTACAAGAGCAACATTTAAAAAAAACATTTGGATCGGTACATGGATTGGAAGGAATTAGAGGGATATGGACCAAATGTGGGCAATTGGAATTAGCTGAGTGGGCACCATGGTCAGCATGGATCAGTTTGGACTGAAGGGACTGTTTCTATGCTGTAATATTCTATAACTCTATGACTATGTAAATTTGGTATGTCCACAATGACTCCTACCAATTTTTATAGATGCACAATGGAAAGCTTCCCATCTGGATGCAACACAGAATGGTATGGCAACTGCTCTGCCCAAGACCACAAGAAATTACAGAGAATTGTGAACATGGTCCTATCCAAAATGAAAACTAGCCTTCCTTATATTGACTCAATTTACACTTCCCACTGCCTCAGGAAGGCAGCCAACATAGTCAAAAACCCTTCCCACACTGGTTATACTCTCTCACAGCATCTTCCATTGGACAGAAGATACAAAAGTTTCAAAACACTACAAACAGATTCAAGAACAGCTTCTTCCCTCTTGTTATCAGACTTATGAATTGGCCTCTCATAAGTTAGAGTTGACCTTTCTCTGCACCTTCTCTGTAACTGTCATACTATATTCTACATTTTGTTTTATTATCCTGATGTACTTATGTAAGGTATGATT